TTTTCAAAACATCTTTTAGATCAAATTTGAAAATTAATTAATTAATCATATTATTAATATTTATCACATAATTTGACCTAATCTATTTTCTTGACAAGATAATTCAAATCAATATACAAATAATTAATCTTTATCATATAAAACAAGTAATTATCTTATTTATGACAATTATCTATGAATTGCATTAGGATAACCCATACTTTATTCAAAAAAACAGATTTTATCAGCCAAAAACGTTTTTGGTAATTATCCTAATTAAATTTTAGTCAAAATCCCAAAAATCAACCCCCATACTGTCCGACTCGCCGGGTCACTAAATCGGCTCGTCGAGTTGCCCTGACTCGTCGAGTTCATCAGGTAACTCGATGAGTTCATATGTTAGAGGCTGGATTTTTCAAATTTTGAGCTTTGAACAATTTAGCTATGCATCAAATACAAAAGCAAAACGACCTAAGCTCTGATACAACTGTTGGGTTGTAAACAATACATCAATCTAATGGTGTACATGCAAACTCTAATGCTTAGATCTAGTTTTTCTAGTTGTACATGCAATAATTATCCAAGGCTTGCAAACCCTAATCTACCATACAACAAAACCGATTTCTATAACTAAAACCAAGTTAGAAACATACCTTTCATTATAGATTGAAGATCTTGAACATTTGAGAACCTTAGCACCTTAAATGTTGTGCCTATAATAGATCACAAACACCAAAGCAAGTTGGAAGAATCTTAGAGAGATTCAGGGGAAGGTAATTTCAGCTCAATTAATCCTTCTAGGGTTGTGGTAGCCGAAATTGTGAAGCCAATGGGTCCTTTATATAGGTGACCTGCTAGGGTTTCAGTCAAAACCCTAATTAGATTGCTTAGGCCTTAAGCAGTCCACAAGATCCTTCCAGAAGGCCTCTTATGGACGATTTCTATGTGGGCTTCCCCATAGAATTTGTCCATCCCTTCTTTAAAGTTCCTCAACCCATATTGCAACTATCACATAATTACAATATCAGTCTTATTAGTTTAATTAATCTATTTTGACCACAAAATTAATTCTAAATTAATTGTTGACAAATATTAATTAAATAAATATGATTTCTCCTTTAATATATTATAATATATTAATAAATCATAATAACCTCATTCTCTATTATTCATCCAGTCAAGTTGTTTTGGTGAAGGCAACTCAAAAGGAGCATGCTACAACCGGATCATGTACATACCAAATATAGTTATTGGCTTAAACACCTAATCCAACATAAACATCTAGGCATAAGAAATTGGCACAATAGTAAACTGTATCAAAACGAAAAGTCGATAGAAATGGTAGAGCATTTAATGTTGGCCTTAGATAGGGTTTGTTTTTGTATTTAGTACCCATAGAAGAAAATATAGCTTCCTCTTCAGGATTGGGAACCATACATTGATTTATGGAACAAAAAAATTTGAAGCTTGATTCGGCGACAACAACCAAATTCGAAATCCTTAGAAGGTAGTGTCGTTGTTCCGATGTTGAAGGTGGAGGTAGTTATCTGATGGTGGGCAAATTGACGCCTACTCTCGAACTCATTTCAAATTTTAACGTATGCTCCCTAAAATAAAAATGTTGCAATGCTTCAAAACTGTAAAAATTCCCATTTTCACTCTGCTTCAAAACCCTAGAAATTCCCATGGCCAATTGTGACAATGAAAATCTGAAGATGATCAAATGGGGGTTCCCACCTTCATTCCAACCCAATCGATCGTCGTCTGTAGTTAGCTTCACTGGAGCGGTTATATGTATGGTTTAAGGCATGAAATCGATCTTCATTGAGGTGAGACGATGAGCAAGGCAATTTTAAGCCTGAGCCGTCGATAAGAAGACGGAAAATTGAGGTGGTTATCTGATGGAACTCCATTTTGCTATGAAGAGACGATTGTTGTGATAATCAAAGATGGAAAGAAGAGGGTGGAAGCTACATGATTAGTTGAAGGAAGCAATACAATTGAAGTCGCCGATGAATCTAGATCAACCGGTATATTAACGAAACGGATGAGGCGGTGACCGCACATGATGGGAAGTGAAAGCAAGAAATTGAAGAAACCGACACATATAAACAGAAAGAGAAAAAGAAGCTTGCTAACAAAAACGGTGAAGAAGAATAACACTGATCCAAATGTGATTAGGTTACAAAATAATGAAGCGAATATAGAAACAACACGTGTCCATCTCTAATCTACATAATGGCGTAAAAGGACCCCTTGTAAAAAAGACAGAAAACAACCGGCATTTACCAACCTTAAGTAAATAAGGGACCAATTATGCCAAAAAAAAAAAAAAAAACTAACAACTTCAATGTTCATAACCTACGAAATATATATATATATATATATATATATATATATATATATATATATATATATATATATATATATATATATATATATATATATAGATTAATAAAAAAATATAATTTAAAAAGTCACGGAAGTTATCCTAGGTTTAATAAAAATCTTTGACACATAGACATCCATTTAGGAATGGTAACCAGTAAACCTTTTAAAATTTAGAATAATGACTTAATTAACATGTAAAAATAGAGTTTAATGGTCTCCTCTGTAAAAAATTCATAAAAATGACTAAATTTTTTCGTGTTATAACGATATTTTTCTTAATATTTCTTTAATATATTATTTAATATATTAATGAATACAAGTTGAAAATAAAATAAAATAAATACAAGTTGAGAAAACCTATAATCCGTGTTTTGTCTTTTAACAAATAGAAACAACCAAGATGCTTAAAGTTTAAACGCCAACAAATTCTATTAAGGAGGGACAAAAGTCAAAACTCATAAAATGAATTTAGATTGACAAAAAATTAATAATATATTTAGGGACTGTTTGGCAAAAATAATCGTTAGCTAGAAGCGGATAGCGGTTAGTTGATAATGGGCAGCTGGAAGTGTGTAGCAGATAACTGGTAGCAGCAAGTTGTAACTTTTATTTGTTATATGAATGTTTGGCAAAAGTAACTGTAAACTTTTGAAATATATTAAATTACATAAAATGACAATTGATTAAAAATAAATAAATATATAAATATATTTTTAAGGGTAATTATGGAAATTGATTTCAAAAGCTCATGAACGTTTTGTTAAACGCTACATGAAATAGCTTTTAGAATCGGTACGTTTTGTTAAAACTAAAACCTAAACGTCCGTACTACCAAACAAAGTTTTTTGTTTAAATTAGAACGTTTTATCAAAAATCAAAAGCTAGAAGCTCACTAACGCTTCCAAAAGCTCCGTAACAACAATTTAAAAAACATGCATGATAATATCCAGCTCCTTTCCGGTTTCCAGTTTCCACCTTTCTTGATGAATTAAACGTTTCGAATTTTAGAGTACTTACAAATGTAAATGTACCAGCATCAATTCCAGTTAGGCTCCTTCTGTATAAGTATAAGTGTATAATTAGCAAGATGAAGCTGTAGCCAGACGATAAAGAGAAATTTTCTTCCATCTTCCATGATCGCCACGTGGCAGCTATTAAACCATCTTTAATTTATATCTTATCTGTCTATGAAGAATCTATTTGAATTAGTTATTCCTTTTTGTTTCGAATATGTATAAGTATGATAATATTAACAATTAATTAATTTTATACAAATTGTAGGATGCCTAGATTTAGTGATTTATTTATTTATACACAATGATGGTGACATTACTAGCAAAAAAAATACTATCATTAGCAACGTCTTATTTCGGTAAATTGTATTTTAAAATAACAAGGTCCTATGTTGTTGCTCCTTACTATTTCTTTCTTATCTCATAGAAAAATCCCTCGCCAATTATCATATTAATCTCTTAATTTTTTATACTTCATCGCATATATTTTTATCGAAATGTTTTCTTTTATTTCTATGCCTCAATGTTTTTTTTCTCATTTTGGGTTCGAATTTTATGCTTATACAACTCTTTTGGATAAAACTACTAATATGGCAAAAGATATTGAAGATGTGATATTGTAACCATTTTTTAGAACGTCTGTACTAATATTATACTTGTACATCCCGGTAGTAATTAATATATATTTGGATACAAGCTTTAGAGTTATGACGATGATTTTAGAACTTTGATTATAGATACATTTTAATATTGATACATAATACAAACTAAAACTATAATATATAGTAACAAACATGAACATAATTAAATGAACATAAGTGAAATGAGATTAACGAACATTAAGAAATGAATATAAACCAAAGCTCACGATGAACAAATCACATAATTGTTCGTGTTTTTTTTTAATGAATAAAAATTCTTTTGATGTCTGTCAGTCATTAAATAAATAAACATACATGAACCATTTAAAAACATATTGATGAATGTTCACTTCGTTTAAGCTCTATTTGTATTATATCCCGTTGAACGCTTTAAAAACATTTTGATGAATGTTCGCTTCGTTTAAGCTCTAATTGTATTATATATAGTATAACTTATGTATGGACTTCAACGGGACAGACGTAATTGAGTGCTGTTTTTTTTTTTTTTTTTTTTTTTTTTTTTTTTTTTTTTTTTTTAATGGATAGATGCAACACCATATCGGAGTAGGTAATTCGTTTTGTCGATGTTTTGTTCACTACTTATGTGGAATCAGTTCTATAATAATAGTTAAACGTTTTATATAATAAAAATTATTTGGAATAATGTAGCAATTTAGATACGACAACAGTGAAATCATCGATCAACACTCACAGAAAGTATAAAAAAAGTAATTATAATTAGGTATTTGCTGATTGGTGAATAAAAACAAGGTAGATCATTCACAATATGAACAAAAGAATGAATTCAAGAAGAAAAAAACAAAATGGAAAAGGGAGGGAAAAAGAAACCCTAAACAATAAGAACGGTTTCTTGGTTTTTTGCGAAACAAATCCACAAAAAGCAGAAAAAGATTGAAATTTAATACCAAGTCAACATTAATAAATAAATACCATTTTGAATATTAATTTGAATTAGTCAGAAGAATTTTCTGGTGGTTGTACTCTTGTTCTCCGACGATGATTCCGACGGCTGTTCAACATGTCCCAATCTCAGCTCAAGGTCTACTTCCCTGTCCGGCGATGGAGAGTTTCCAGGTTGATGAATGTTTCTTGGAATCTCCGAATCGTTGGTGCCAAAAAGTGGGAGTGGTTTCTTTTCATCTTGTTGTGGGTTAGGAAACCAGTTGCCTTGATGAGAGATTGAAAAAGGATTGGTGGTAGTGGTGGCGCTTAATCTTGGACGGGTGGGAGAGGGTGATTCCACGACGGCGTTTGGTGGTGTGGTGGAAGAGGAGTGTTTGAACTTACCTTTGTCCTTCCGGTGGATGTTCATATGGCCTCCAAGTGCTTGTGCATTTGTGAAACCTCTTTTGCAGAAATTGCACTCGTATGATCTTGGTGTGTGGGTTGTAGTTTGTTGTTGTTCTTCTGGGGTGGTTGTGGTGGAAGATTGTTTTGGGTCGTCGGAGGCTTCTGAAGGCGGTTGGTCGGAGTCCATTGACGGAGGAGAAAGGTGTTAAAGATGTTTACGGGGTGGTGGTCAAATGATAGATTCAAAGGGTGGTGGGTTTAATGGTTTATAATATAGTAGTATAAGTAATTAAAAGAACGGCCTGCAATATAATCTGGATGTTTGCCGCCGTGATTGTTCTTTGGTTTAATTAGTATTTCAAAAATTCTATGTTTGCTTTGCATCTTTGATCATTTCTAATCATATTGAAACATTTATAAAATTGATTCACTTGATATAAATATTTCCTGTTATTTAATAATTAAGATTAAGTGTAGCATTTTTTTGGGAAATTATGTAATATAACCACAATTTAATATGTACTTGAAGAAAAAACAAAAAAAAAATGTTTTTAGCAAAAAAATAATCACTTGGTCCATAATGACCATTCCATACCAAGAAACAATTTTTCCGAAAAAAAAAATAAAAATAAATAATCAAGAATTTCAAGAAAAATCCGAAATTAGTGAACAATTACAAAATTCCAAAAAATATATAGTTTTTACTTAAATTTAACAAAAAGTTAAACAAACATATAAACTATATACATTATTAGTGCATAAAATAAGATATTTTATTGAAAAATGGTGAAATTAAATACTTCAAATGCATATTTGGGACATAATTATGGATATTTCTTTTTTAGAAAATGAAAAAAAAAAAAAAAAAAAAAAAAACATCAAAATCTGAAAATCAAATCCGAAATGGAGCATTCGGGAGTAAAAGCTCATTTCGGCACCTTGAAATAAACATTTCATATATAAGTTACATAGGGCGTGTTTGGTACGGAGTTTTTGGAAGCGTTTGGGAGCTTCTAGCTTTTAGCTTTTGACAAAACGCTCTAGTTTAAACAAAAAACTTCGTTTGGCAGTACGAGCGTTTAGCTTTTAGTTTTAACAAAACGCTCCGATTCTAAAAGCTACTTCATGTAGCTTTTAACAAAATGCTCCGGAGCTTTTGAAATCAATTTCCATAATTACCCTTAAAAATATATTTATATATTTTTTATTTTAATAAATTGTCTTTTTATGTAATTTTATATATTTCAAAAGCTTCCAGCTACTTTTGCCAAACATTCATATAACAAATAAAAGCTACAGCTTCCCGCTACCAGCTACCAGCTACACGCTACCAACTACCCGCTACCAACTAACCGCTACCCGCTTCCAGCTAACAGCTACTTTTGCCAAACACGCCCATAGAAGGATTTCTTTTAAGAACAATTTAATTTTTTTTTTTTTGGAATATGAAGAGTAGTCCGAGATGAAGACAAAATGTTTATTTTTCAAAAACTAAAAGAAATCCTACATTTCCTTGATTTTTTTTTCAAATGAATATTTTTTACCATTTTATATCTTTTACTTTTTACCAATTTACCGTTTATCATTTTGTATTGTGACTTATGACTAATATTTTGAAGTTTTTATAATTTTTAAACGAAAAATTAAATGTATGAAATATTTTTCATATTGTAAAATTATAAGTTAAAATTATTTTTTATTTTGTGGGGTCTTAGGATCCCGATACCCATCTTGTAAACCCAAAAACGATCATACGTAGGATCCCGTTCTTGATAACCTTACGACATCCACCATGACGAACTCTAAATAATTTAATGGTTTATTACATTATTATTTTATTTTTTTTATCTAGCTCCATTTATTTTTTCTGTAATCATTATATATTTCTAAACAAAATTTATGTGTTTATAAACTAGAGTTTTACTTATATTTAAAAAACCAAAATATGTACATATTTTCATAAGCAATCCATCAATCGGTGATTTTAGATTTTATTTTTAATTTTTTTATGTCCAAAACAAACATTAATTTTAGCTACAATAATTTGTTAGATATACTTTATTATCTATATAAAGGACAAAGATTGTTGTTATACTATAATCTATTAATTAATGAAAGGTTATGGAATATATGTATGTATGAAAATAAGTGGAGAGATGAACGCTACTTTAATACCATTTTAGTAAGAATGTATATCACTAACCTTGTGATTGGTTGATAAAGGGATTGCCTTGCCATTTCGACAAAGCACCACCCTTGAATCACCACAATTTGCGACGATGATCTTTTCCGGCGTCACAACGAAAACCATTGTCGCGGTGTAACATTGAGTTTTGGTACCCTTAATGAAAATTTGTTAACATTTTGGTCCTGGCAAGTACGTGGGGCATACTTTATGAGTACGCTTAGCGTACTAGCCCATTCCTTATCGCCGGTTTAACCCACGTACGCGGGGCGTATGTGGAGTACGCATGGCATACGTGGTACATGGGGTAAACTTTAATTTTTAGGGTTTGCACCCTATTTAAACATCATTATAACACCTCTTGGACACTTTAGACCATCCTCCATCTCCCTATACCTAGAAAACGAAATCCTAAGTGCATTTGGAGAGATTTGAGTTTGAAAATGTATTTGTTGGTGTTTTATGGTGAAGAATGTGACAACTGTTAAATTTCGGTCAAGACAAAGTCAACCGAAGTCAACAAGTCAAACCGTTTGACTCAATTTGCCCGTGGGTACTAGAATTTACATTATGAAACTTCTACATAACTCTCTATTCTAATGAAAAATCATAAAGCAAAAAGTGCGAACACCTAGATCTCCTTAACCTAAAACTGTGGTACGTGGCGAGCCAAACCGATAAAACAATGTTGCATACTCATCTGGAGTGTATAAGATCCTTAAACAAGGCTTAACAGGGTTTACGAACCATGCATTGCGATGCCGGACACTCACAATTGTCACACATGGAACCTCTCTCAATCGTTTTCACTCTATCTCTCTCTATGTCAAATCTCTCCCAAATCTCTCCAAGTATGTGAAATCTCTCTCAAATATCTCTCTGTATGAGAAATCTCTCCAAAAATGTCAAATCTCTCCCCAAATCCCTCTAAGTATGTGAAATCTCTCTCAAATATCTCTCTGTATGAGAAATCTCTCCAAGAATGTCAAATCTCTCCCAAATCTCTCCAAGTATGTGAAATCTCTCTCAAATATCTCTCTGTATGAGAAATCTCTCCAAGAATATCAAATCTCTCCCAAATCTCTCCAAGTATGCAAAAACTCTCGCAAATATCTCTGTGTATGAGAAATCTCTCCAAGAATGTCAAATCTCTCCCAAATCTCTCCAAGTGTGAGAAATCTCTCCTAAATCTCTCTCAAAAGTTTCCCGTAACTTTTTAGAATCATTCGGGTCATTCCGGCCCTTAACCGGGTCAAAAACGGCTTAAAACGGGGTAAAAACGAGAAAACGGGACCTTAGGAACCGAAACCCTTCTTAAGGAGGCGAAGCTCCTTAAGGCCGAGAGTACCCTGGACGAACCGAGCCTCTGTTGGCTGAACCCGGAGGACCGAGCCCCTGTAGCTGAGACCGAGTCTCGGTCTCTGTCGCCGCCTCTGTTCGCTTCTCGCACTCTCTGTTCGCCTTCCGCCTCTCTGTTCTCCTTCCCTCCTCTCGGTCTCTGCTCCTTCCCTCCTCTCGGTCTCTGCTCCTTCTTTCCTCTCTGTCTCTACCCGCCTCTCGGTCTCTGCTCTCTCTTCCCTCCTCTCGGTCTCTGCTCCTTATCTCCTCTCTGCCTCTACCCGCCTCTCTGTTCTCTTCTTCTCTCTCGGTTCCTCTCCACTCTCTTCTCCACTCTCGGTTCCTGCTCTCTCCCTTCTCCCCTCTCGGTTTCTACCCTCCCTCCTCTCGGTTTCAGCATCAGAAGGCCGAACCTTGGCCAGATTTCGGAAATTTGTCACTTTTAGCCCCTTTTTGATATTTTTAACATTTTAAGCCCGTTTTTCGTGATTTTAAAGCGGGATTTTCTCCAGAAATTATATTTTAACATAATAAATCCTAAATATTCATAATTTAAACATATTTTGATGAAAATCATTATCTAAATAATAAAAACCAAATGGGTGAATTATTAAAGGTGGAGTGTTGACTTTGCCTTATCCAATGTCACAAGCAACCACCCCACACCCACTCTTTGACTAACCACACCTTCCCACCTTACCTAAGTCACTTCAATGTCCCTTACACTCAATTTACACTTATTCCCACGTTTTTAGAGCTGGAACAAACATCCTCTCTCCTCATTTCTCTCATTTTCTCTCATTTCACTAAGTATCAAACACCACTTTTCTCTCAAACTTTTTCTCCACCAAACTCGAGATTCAAGGCTGATTATCAAGTGTTCTTCCACATTTGGTAAGCATAATCCATTCTCCTTATGATTATCTCACTTATTTCCACTCAAATCATGGATATCTTACACAAACTCCATCATATTTGTGTTAGAGCTTCGAATCTTCAAGTGATTCTTCAAGTGTTCTTGGCTTGAACACTTCTCTTCTTCAACACTTATCTACTGAAATCACTCAAGGTGAGTTCATACCCCTACATTTTTATGTTTTCTCAAGTTTTCAGGGGGGGAATACAAGTTAAAACACTAAGAACATAACTAAAATTTTCTAACAGCCTTCATCAGAAAAGTTCAACTCCATTCACGGACTTTTTTGGGCATCTTAAACATTTTTGTTTTCAAAACTGTACAAGGTGCAAATATTTCAAGTTCTTAGCTTTAAAATGGCTACTTTCACATCTCCATACGATTTTTCTACAATTTATGGTGATTTTTACAAAACTGCCTATCATTTCAAACAACAATCCGGACCAGTCTGTGATTTTGGACTTATTCACCCAAGTTGGAGGTCGTTAAAAATCGTGATAAAATTATGAGTAAACTAGACACATTTTGTAAACTCTCAGAATTTACGAATCTAGTTTTCGACTTCGTATGAATTTTCTATGATTTTTCCAAGACAGTACAGAATGGCTAAAGTTAGCCAACAGCATGTAAATATCATAACACTTTGTATTATGTTGAGCAAAGTGTATAATCATAAGTTCTAATCATTGAATGTGTTTCTTTGTTAGTTTATCATCATGAACTGAAACTAAGTCATTCATAATAAATA